TAATTATATTTTATTATTTTTTTGTGTGTACCGTCAAATCTGATCTGACTGGTACAGGAGGAGACTGCCCCTCCTTCTCCAGCAGAGCATCTGGTGGCCTCAAACCTCGTGCCTCTGGGATTTCTCCAACTAGACTTCAGACTTTGTAATGCCCAGAAAGCTCAGCTTGGGGATAGACTGGCTGATTTTTAATACAAGCCAACTTTTAACTGTCCTATGGCCAAAAATAAACATTATCTGAGTGCCAATCTTGTGTAAGGTACTCTGTTAATTTCATTCTGTAACATAGTGAAGGGACTCTTGACACATAGTGAATGTCTAAGAGAAAGACATGACCCACTACCTCAGCAGAAGGCCTAGTCTAATGCTTTTTACAATTAGGAACTATGATGACAAGAGTCTATGTTTTCCTCTGAATTTATCTATTACTCTCTAAGTACTATCTAATTAAAATGCTTTTAATTCTCTGTACCAAATTAACGATCTGCATTATGCAGATGGCACAACCCTGCTTGCTGAAACTGAGGAGGACCTCATGCACTTGCTGCAGAGGGTCAAGGACTGCAGCCTTCAGTATGGACTGAGGCTCAATGTCAAGAAGACAAAGATTCTCACCACTGGACCAACTGGCAGCATCAGGATGCATGGCGAAGAGATTGAGATAGTTCACAGCTTCAGTTTGCTCAGTTCCATGGTCAACACTCTTGGCACCAGCAGCCAGGAAATAAAAAAACATATTGCGATGGGGAAGTCTGCTCTTAGGGACCGCTCTAAAGTGCAAGAGCAACGGTGTGTCTCTGGAGACTAAAGTGTGTCTGACACAGGCCATGGTCTTTGCAATCACTTGTTATGCATCAGAGAGCTGGACAATGACTAAGGAGGATAGAAAGAGAATTGATGCCTTTGAGCTGTGGTGCTGGAGAAGAGTACTGAATGTATCATGCACTGCCAAGAAAACAAAGAGATTCATCCTGGAGAGGATTAAGCCAGGCTACTCCTTGGAGGCAAGGACTCTGGGGCTTCATCTGACATACTCTGGACATGTTGTAAGGAGGGACAGGTCCTTGGAGAGGGACATCATGCTTGGGAGGGTGAAGGGACAGCGCAGGAGGGGAAGACCCTCTATGAGGTGGATTGATTCAGCCACTGGGGTAATTGGGATGGGTGTGTCAGAAGCAGTGCAATTGGCACAGGATAGAGCAAGGTTTAGGGCTGTTGTACATAGGGTCGCTATGAGTTGCAAGCGACTCGACAGCACATAACAACAACAACAACAACCAAATGTGAAATGTTATGAATATACTTTAGCCACAGTTGAAATATACAAAGATGGTATTACCATACTACCTACCTATAGCGAGAGATTCTCCCCAAATAAAACCTTTGCAACAAAACCAGGAACCAGACTCCAAGAGATTATAAAAAAAAAATGCTAACTTTTAAGCCCATGAACTATGATTTTCTTCTTTTATGTTTCTGGTCCTATCAATTAGATGTACAATAATTATCATCAAGCACAATTATCAATACTAATTACTTATCTGTTTTACAGGTAATTACTAGCTTCTAGCATGTGAGAAGGGAGCTCTGACAGCTGAGTGGCAGGTTGTGCTGTCAATCTAAAGGCATGGGTTCAAACCCTTCAGCTGTTCGCTGTTTACCTCCTTGGCCATTTATTGTCCCTGAAAATCTGCTAAAGGGTGAGCTATGAGTTAGTTCTGATTCTTCGACGTATAACAACATGTTAAATGGAATTAATAGTCAAAGCAGCCATTTTTTAAAGTTTTTTATTTTATTTTATTATTTTCTCTGTGTGTGTACCGTCAAATTGGATCTGACTGGTACAGGAGGAGCTAGCCCCTCCTTCTCCGTAGTCAAAGCATTCTTAACAGTTCATCTAAACTCTAAACTTTCCCCAAACTCTAGCTTTAATACACACATTAGCCCAACACTTCAGTACAGTCATATAATCCTGTTTCTCTGTTCAACATTTCTTTCCATTCTCTGCAGGTGGCTGGGTCAAATTAATTTCCTTATGTAATTAATGTTCTACATCTTACCTCACAGTTTCAACATGTATTGAACATACACTGTGTGCCACACACTCTTCAGTAATCTTAACAAAGATCTAAACATTCTTCAAGTCTTGGCTCATCTATTTACAGTGTCTTCTCTAGTCTCCTCTACTCAGTCCAGACCCCAGCCTCATTTGGACTCTGTCTCACTTGAACATTGCCAGCCACAGAGATCACTTCATATATTTACTAATACACTAAGTAATTTGATATTCTAATTAAGCTATAATTCTAAAGTAGGCATTAAAAAAAAAAGTAAAAGCTAATTCAGTCTAACGGGAGAATTTTGGATATAGCCCCAGTGGTTATATTGTTGAAGAAGTAAAGGAAAGTAGGAGCCTAAAGCTCTGGGAGCCTCAAGCAGCAACTAAAGAAAAGAGGTTTAGAGGGAAGTGAGGATTGTGTGTGTTCCCCCAGAGTTGAACCGAAGCCCAAAGAAGGGGTCTCAGAAGGTTGGGGGAGGGAGAGGTGCCCCAAATTAGGGCCCGAAGCGAGGCGAGCTGGTCTAACGCACCTTTGGTTAGATTAACAAGGTTGTGCGACTTGGTGTTGAAGAGCAGGCGACGGTAGCGCTGGAAAGCCTGGTCGAGGATTGAGCAGCCCGGCTGAGCAGCGGAAAGAGCGTGATACTGGAAATTGAAGCTGGTTGGCTGTATGGTGAACTGCTGGTCCGAGGCCTGGAAAAACTGCGGCCAGGGCCACAGGGCTGTCGTCCACCCTGTGAACGCTGCCGCCAGCAGCAGCGAACACCAAAGCGTGGCCCCTGCCATCGCCCACCACTCCGGTCTTCCCGAGGCGGGTGGGCCACGTGAGCCCCTGGTCAGGTGACCCGGGTCCGCGTGACAATCGGTGCGTCACGTGACCCGAGGCGGCGCCTCACCACGAAAGGCCGGAAGTTCGGTTTTCAGTGCGTTTGTGTTATCTTTGCTGTGGGTCGTTATCCCGTATGGCCCCAATTATCAGGAGACTAACAGGCCTGGTGATGCAGTAAATAATTTATCGTCACGGATGGCATGTCTACAGTAACAGAACTACGACGCTCACACGGCTGTGCGTTTGTGGGAGAGCAGTTTCCCAGAGGAAGAACTTGTAGGCTGAATGTTGAGCTATGAATGAAAGCTTGCCAGGCAGACTTGGAGAAAAGGACATCCAGGTAGAGCTAATTTTGGAAACCTAAAAATGTATTAAAGCCACATGCTGTGATGTGAAATGCTGTGAGGCGGCAAAGTACGATCTGAACTGCATTGATAAGAGGAAGTTCTTATGATTTATTTATGAGAGGAGTTCTTGTGATCTGCTTATGACAGGAAAAAAATGTTCAGCCTTGAGAGCAACTTTGAGACATCCTGCCTCCCATGAGGGCTCTTGGCTTCATGGTTGTTAATAAATCACCTTGTTAACGGCCTCAAATCCCTTTCTGCAAGACAAAACTCACAGAAGTTTTGTACTGCAAACAGTAAGATATTATTGAGATTTAGGTGCAAGATGGGGAATGCCCAGAGGTAAAATGACAGGGTTCAGATGCTGCAGAGGCATACAGGGCATGTTCAAGAGTCAGGACTTTATTCTGTGTGGGTTTTTGGTAAGTCATCCTGGAGGATTGCATTTTTAAGTTTCTTACTGGATAGTTGGATTAAAAAAAAAAAGAAATTAAAAAATCCTCTTTATTGAAAGTGTACAATGACAGCAGCCTGAATTACAGTGGTAGGCGAGGAAATGGGTAGATCCAGAGAAAAAGGGTATGGAGAAGCAATGTTTAAGAGCCACTAGAGGAATAATCAATGAAGACTCAACAAATACTTATTTAGGCAGTGACTCTGTCTTCTTTGTTCACTACAGTATCCTTAACATCACTGAATCTCTGATTGTTGTTGTTGTTGTTGTTGTTAAGTGCCGTTGAGTCGCAGGCAACTCATAGCGACCCTATGAAGGAGAGTCCTCGATGCTTGGGTGCCTTTCATCCTCTCTCCAGGTTCATAGGGTTTCCTGAGGCAAGCTATCATGGAAGTGGATGCCATTCCTCCTTCCACGAATCTCTGATTAGGAGATGAGAAATTCTATCTGTGTGACATTATTTGAATTATATTTTTTCTTTTATATAATTTTTTGACAGTGCAAACTCTTTATTTCATATATCTTTAAAAATTCATTTGCTGTTACACATTTTCCGCCTTCTCCCTCTCTTTTCTTTTTCCCAGTCCACTTTAAATCATAAAACTGCATTTTAATAGAATAGTTTAAGGTCAGGATGTGAACTTTTAAAGAAGTCATATTAATTTCAATTTAAATTTTAGGTGTCTATTATAGTAAGGGAGCACTCATGAGTTAATGATAAAGAATTATGCTGCATGCAAAGGTATGCAGTTCGAATCCACCAGCTGCTCCATGAGAGAAAGATGGGCAGTCTCCTCCAATGCAATTTGCTGCCTCTGAAAACCCGCTGAAGAGTCAGTTCCAACTCGACGGTAAACAACAACAACAAAAGTGTAGTAGTAGTATAGATATAGAACCATACTAAATCATACCTATACAGTGTAGTAGTAAGGAGCTAGTACGGTGAGAGAGACAAAAATGTAAGTGAATAAAAGTCTTTATAAATATGAGGGAGCTCAGGTGACCTTGTGGTAAGAAACTTTCCTCTATGCAAGCTTTTGATGATAGATAGATAGATAATCATGGGGTCTTTTAGTCATTACTCAGCTGATTGTTGGATGTAGTTGGCAGAGATAGAACGATTGAAATAATTTGGTTGTAATCTTCTCTCAAGGAAAAAAAAGTAACCTCTTAAGTGCATTTATTAGTCTGCAGTCTTTTCATTCAGACCCAGTCCCTTAATTTTGTATGACTCCTTTTCCCTAGTGTAGGTTTAATATCATTTATCAAGGAGTGCCTTGGTACATGCTCATTCCTGAATTCCTAGATTAACTGGTTGTTCTCACCTTTGCACCTAGTCTGACTTACGAGTCCTTCAAATAGCATGCACAATAATACCATCAAATTGAACAAAAGCAATGATGTAGATAGTATATGCTGGTTTTGGTTTTCTGTATTTTTCTTTTATTAAAACTGGTTTATTACATGAGTAGAAATGGCAACAAAGTCAACTTCGCAGAACTAAACCCACTACTTTCAAGGTGATTCCAATTTACAGCAACCTTATAGTGCAGAATAGAACCATCCCTAAGATTTTCAAGACTGTTAATCATTAGTAAAGCAAACTACCACAAAGTTCTTCTGAGGAGCAGTTGGTGGGTTTCAGCCATCAGCCTTCAGTTAGCAACTGCATCACCAGGGTTCCTAAAATTAGCTTCCATTCACTTGAATAGAATTTGATCTCTCAAAAGCACGTGTATGATATGGAAGCTACATAATGATCCTAAAGGGCTAATAAATAGTTGAAGGAGGATTAAGCGTTAGATGTGGTCCGTTCTAATCTATCCTCCGCCCTAACTGGATGTAAGCGAGAGTAGAACTCTGTTCTTCTAATCCATAGAAAGCTGTGCTGCTAATCAAAAGATAGCACCTCTATGGTAGGTCAAATGTACCGGCACCTCTCCAGATGAGATGGGAAATAACTTTTCATGTGATTTATAGTCTCTAAAAACCACTGGGAGGTCAGCAGTGAATTGGTTCCAACTTTACTGAAATTAGTTGTTTGAGTGGTCTTTAATACCTTTTATTTTACTGGAGATAAAACTGACTCCCAAAGCTGGTGTTAGCCAGGCAGGCAAAAGAAGCATGGGTAGAACATAGAGGTGACAACGAAGACAGTATAGTGAGCATCCGGATCATGGGAGTATAAAACAGAGAACATGTCTTACCTGCTTGCCCTTATCCCTAAAAATCTCTTCCCACATTCTACTGCTAGCTGCTACTTGAAGGTGTAAACTTATATGTTGCTGGTGTTGATGATTGCCTGTGAGCACGACTCATAGCGACCCTATGAACTAAAGGCCTGAAGCCCCTCTACAAGTATGGACATTTATCAAAGTTCATAGACCATTCTGCAAACCTCTGATCCTCAACCCTGGGTGAGGTCGCATTCTCTGTGATCATATAACCTTCTAAGTTTATCTCCTTGAAAGCATACTACTTACCTTCATTGGAACATTTTAGTATTGTCATTTGTAGTTGCTTGTTCACTTGCCTGTCATTTCCATATATTTAAAGGTTCCTTCATAGTTAATTCTTTGCTGCAGTCGAGTTGACTTATGACCCATAGTGATCATATGAGCAGCAGATCTGTACCCTGCCCTGTCCTGTGCCATCCTCATCTCTGATATACTTGAGCCCATTGTTACAGTCATTGTGTCAGTGCCTCTACTTGAGAGTGTTCCTCTCTTTCACTGACCCTCTAAGCATGATATTTTGTTCTAAGGACTAGCCCCCTTCTAACAACATGCTCAAAGTGTGTGAGACGATGTTTCACCATCCTTAGGTATTCTAAGGAGTACCCTGGTTCCACTTTTTCCAAAACATATACCTTTCTCCAACATTGCAATTCAAAGGCATCAATTCTTCTGATATTCTTACTCATTGTCCAACTCTTAGATGCATAGCAAGTATTGAAAAGGCCATAGATTGGCTCAAATGTGCCTTCTTTAAATTGACATTATTACTCCTTAGAATTTTGGAGAGGTCCTTGACAGAAGATTTTCCTGGTGTGATTTTTAATTTCTTAACTGTTGGTACCAAGAGTGCTAATTGCGGATCCAAACAAGATGAAATTGTTGACAATTTAAATCATTTTTCCACCTGTCAGGATGTTACCCATTGGAAGAAGAATGTTGCAGTTCCCCCCAGGCCTGATCACTCCCTAAAGGAACCTGATAATGTCTAAGGTGACCAGACCTAAGACAGACCAGACAAGGGATCTTGATAAGGCTGTGGGCCTAATCACATAAGTCCATACCCAAGTTAATTAACAGCTCCAAATTATAAACTAAATACCATCTTCCCTGTTGTTGTTGTTGTGTACCATAGAGTTGGAAACCACCCATAGCTGACCCTTGTCCAGGTTTTCAGAGGCAACTAGTCTCACAGGAGGAGATTGCCCATCCTTCTTTCACAGAGCTGCTTCTGGTGACCTTGAACCATGTACCTCGGGACTGCAGCAGAGCTTCTTGCCACTAGGCCACCTGATATATGTTCTCTTGATGTTGCGATGTAATCCATATTGAAGGCTGTAGTCTCTGATCTTCTACACAAAGCACTTCAGGCCCTGTATTTATTGTGGTTTTCCTAATTCCTGGCACAGTGTCTGTTCTTGTTAGATTCTCTTGAGGCAACTCTGACTCATAGCAACCCTATGAACAGCAGATAAAAATTTTGCCCTATCCTACACCATCCTCATGATTTTCTCCATACTGAAGCCTATTGTTGGAATCTAGTTCTTTCAGGTATTTCTCTATTCAACTGATGCTCTGCTTTTCCTAAGATAATGTCTCTTCCCTAGAAATGGACCCTCCTGATAACATGTATGTGAGAGAAATTTCACTATCCTTGCCTCCAAAGAGAACCTGGATTTCACTTCCTCTAAGACAGATTTGTTTATTTGCAGTCCATGGTATACATAATGTTCTAAGCCAACATCACAATTTACAAAATTCTACAATCTCCTTATTAGTTTTCCACATTGCTAATGTATATGATGCAACTGAAAATACCCTGGCTGGGTCAGGCACACCTTAGCCTTTCAACTTATATCCTTGTTCTTTAGCATTTTAAAGAGATCCTTGAGAGTAAATTTTCCGCGATGCAGCACATCATT